CCTGCTGAAATTCCCAGTGTCGTTCTTGGGAAACTATTTTTATTAGGAAGATTAATAGTGTTGGTGACTTTGTTAGTACAGACTTCTGAATGTAAGGAAACACCTTTTTTTTCCTCAAACACACTGTGAGGGTGAGTGAGCACTGGAACAGATTGCCCAGAGAGGCTGTGGAATCTCCATCCTTGGAGATATTCAGAAGTCATCTGGAGGTGGTCCTGGACAGCCTACTTTAGGTGACCCTGTCTGAATAGGGAGTTAGACAAGACCTCCAGAGGTCCCTTTCGACCTCAACCGTTCTGTGATTCTGTGAATTGAAATTTTGTAATTGCCTAGTAAACTCATTAATGCTCATACCATGCCTGCAGTGATGTAGATGAGTTTAAATCAGGTGTTAAAATGGTATTCTAACCAAACTTCTTAAGCACTTGGAGCTCCTGTTGCCTACATCAGGCATTTTGCTCTGTTATCTACTGGAGAGGTTGGCCGTTCAGTCTTAGTGACTGTGTCAGCCCATACAGACTGTCTACATACTATTCATGTATCAGTATGATACCATACTGATAGTGAATCGGAAGGGTTATTTTATCTAGTGTAGAAGATTCTGTTATTTTAAAACTCTGTAAGACCTTACTTTAGACCAGGACTAATTTTAAAATGCAAATTTGTATCTGATTCCTCAGCTGGATGACAGTTTCATGTTTAACCAACATTTATCTGCATAGGCATGGCATAACTGTGAGCATCTCTCTGGTATCTGTTTGAAGAGGACACTGTTGGGGGGCCCAGGTATTTCTTTTATATTTTATAGTTATAGAGGTGTCCGGATTCTGTAATGGTCAAAGCTTTCCAGTAGAAGAGGATGAGACAAGAATTAAATGCATGTGGGAGACTCTGGACCTAGGCACTTCGTGCTTTTGATGCTAACTGGGAGGGAGCTTGATAAACACTTTTACCAACTTTTCATAGAAAAAACAGGTAAGAAACGTGTAACTGTTATGATTCATGTTAGTAGAAAGATGCTTCCCCTCCCATGCACCTAGAGCTTATGCAGAAAATATATTGTTCTGTGTGTGTTTTATCTTAGAACTGTGATTTTAGTCATATGTGTATACTTATTGAGAACTATTTTTTGGGGGGTAAAACTGGGAGCAATATTATTTGAAGCCAAAATGTTTTTAGCCGAAAACCATACTTATTCTTAAGTTCGGGTTTGAGTTTCTTCACTGAGAAAACAGTCTGGTTGGAAGCATCCTTACTATGGATGCGAGGGCCCTGGCCTGGTGCTTATGCTGACCTCTTCCTATATAAACGCGGCTGTAAATTCAGGGTGGAACTGGGATGCCTCTGGGCCAAGGCTACGTCTTGATCAGCTCCTCTGTTGTCAAGTGGCAGCTGTAAGCAGTGGTTAGTTGGGATCACCTTTATAAAGATGTTACTAACTTTTATTTAAATAACAGTCCTGTGTTCAGGATACTCTTGAACTGAAAGGTGAATCCTTATCAACAAATCGTTAAATGAATGCTGTGAAATTCAGATTTTATGGAAGCACTTCTGTGATAGTCTAGATGTTGTTGATAATTTTATTGACGTAAGTAGAAAATTGCCTTACGCCTCATTCCTTGTTAAGAAAAAGAGCAAAACTTGTTTATGATGACTTTCAGTGAGATGAGGAATCTATAAAAAAAAAAAAAGCTGCTTTTTTATTTATTCAAAAAGTCCTGCAGGAAATTGTTAAGCATCTTTTGTTATTTTTTTCTTATAGTTAAGTCCAAGAATACTGCCATCTTTTTCTTTTTCTTTCCCCTAACTAGAAAGTGTCCTAGTGAAAGTATTCTGTTAATTGTTCTGTCTCTTGCCACAAAAAAGTGAAGTCCTCAACGTTATTGCTGGTGAAGTTGCACAGTTAGACAAGTCACTTCTTGGGTTATTGTTTGTTTTTCAACATTTTTTCCTAATGTTTTGCTACTACCAAGCATTTAATTATTGTCTAATTGCACAGGGAGAATGCATTCATTGTAGATGTTAATTTTCAGTTTTCTCTAAAATTGTATTATATGATTAAACCCCTGCTAGTTATTTGTCTTAAAAATGAGAAAACTTTTACCATTTTGCAAAGCAATCATCCAGAAGACGTGTGGAAACTTTTCTTGTAGATAACATCCTCAGTAAAATTGAATCCTGACCATTAGGTATGTCTCCTATTGGTGCTAGTACAGTTAAGAGCCCCCAAATATTCATGTGTCTGAAGTGTGGTCATAAACTGTGGTGTGCCTCCTGCTTCATTTGGTAATATTGCTAAGCTCACATTAGTTGCAAATTTAGGCTCAAATCTTCAGATAACTTCCTCTTACTTAGTTCTTGAATAAGGTATTTTTTGAATCTGGAATTTTAGTTTTTCATTCTTTAAATGCCAGTACTAGACATGATATTTTTTGTGTGCAAAGAAATCTGGAAAAGTTTGTTCTCTGAATGTAACAGATCCCTGCTGAAACAATTTTTGAGTTTAAATGCCATAGGTTCAAAAGAAATTTGCCTCCTTGGTGTTCTACAGTCCTTCTTAAGAGGGATTTTCAAAAGCATAAAGCCATTATTTCTTCAAGCGTTTCTCCATACATATTTTGGTGTGTTTTTCTGGGCACACTAAAGTTCAGGCTGTTTCCATTGTCCTACTGCAGGATAAAGGAACTACTGTAGCTAATGAATAACCAGAAGACTTTTTCCTGTGCATCTAACCTGGCATATTAATGCCTACATTTGTCCTTAGTGTTCAGTGCAATTATGTTGCCTTTTTCATACACTGCATCAGGATCTTGAAGAGCTCTAGTATTTGCTAGAGTGACTTTTCCAGACAGAGCAAACCTCCCAGAGTAGAATGTTTTTTGTGATCCGGTTGCCTTAAAATCAAGCTTAACTGGTGACAATTTAAGATTAAGAAGAAGTTTTTATTTACAGAGTCAAAATAGACAACCTCTCTTAAAAGTTTAGAAAGATGGAGCAGAAAATGAGGAAAAAATGGCTTAATGTACTTCTCTCAAGATCAAATGTAAAAGAGCTCTTCCTCTGTTTCTGTCTGACTGTCTGCACTTGTTTACTGAACTTGGTATGAGGTGCAATTACCTTCCTCAAACTGTGGTAATGGGGGAGAACTTCAGACTGAGAAAGCATGCTAGCTTTACCTTTTCAGTCTTGTTTGGTTGTTGATAGGAAATTTATTCAAGCATATAAGTGGGGTGAATATGTGCAATTTATTATGTCATTTTGACTGAGATTAGTTTCAACGATAATTAATCTCTCTGGGATGACTGACCCTCTGTGCTCCTAAAGTGTTTGCATGGTGCTTGTGTATGCATGCAAATGTTCCACTTAAGGTCTTCCTCTGTCTGAGAGCAAAGTCTAGCAAGATGCATCAGTTCTTACCAAAGTTACAGGCACGGAGCACGGTGTAGGGTAATTGCCAGCCTATTCTTTTTTCACAGTTATTCCAATCTTTTCTTAGAAAATATCTCCAATTTTATGGAGTATATTAACATTGCTACTTTGAGGGATCTTGGCTTTTTTATTTATTATACAAGCTCTTGTTTTAGAAACACTCCTCTTCCTTCTTTCCCCAGAACCTCTTGGAAGTCTATCACAATGTTTTTCTTGTTCCTTCCTATTTACTTTTCCTGTATTCCTTACTCTGGTGTGTGCCTCTGGCACTGAGGCTTTTGAGATTTTGAAACAGAAGAAATTTTATGCTAGACTGACTTTCAGTGACATTAGTCTTCCAGTCCTGCCTAAGAACACCATTCCGTCTCAAGGAGTTGAGCCGATTCTCTCGAAAGATACCTTTAAAAAGGTCAAGCTTGTATCTTCTCCGTTACTGGGGTACTCATTTCTGTTTGTGGCACTGTTGTCCATGGGCTCCATATTGTAGTCACTGTAATGTAGTTAGTAGGAACTGCATAGGTACTTACTGTGGGGAAAGCTGCAGAAGCTCTGGCATGTTGCTAGTTAGAGACAGAAGATAACACAACTTAAGTGTTTTCTGACACAAGTTTCTGCCAGGTATCAAGAGGAAGAAAATTCACCTGGTACCTCATATAGGCCAATACCTATTTCTTTTATGTTGGTGATTCTCTTAATTTGAAGTCATTGCTTAAAATAAAAAATAGCTTTAAACCCCCTGAAATCTTTACTGTCATTGAATTACTCAACTCTTGGTCAAGGAGGCACAGGAAACTTCTCAAAAGTTATTGGCCAGCCTATATAGATATATTTTGGGGATTATTCTCTCCTACTTAAAGAAGTACTATTGAAGTTCCCTACAAATACCTGGCAGAAGCTAGCCTAGGTGTCAGAGAAAGAAGAGAAGAGACGAGACAATAGATGTTATTTGGAGGTGGAAAAAAATCACTCATCCATGGTTTAACATCCCAGAACTTCAAACTGTAAGACTCTTCGTGCGAGCTATGGCACAATTTCATTGACTCTTAAACTTCCAAAGATTATAGAAAAGACTGGGGAAATAAGTTTCCAAGGAAAGGTTGTTCCAAAAAAAAAAGTATTTGCATACAACTATTGGGGCTGGATATACTATGGCATACGTAATACTCTTTGGCCTCAGAATTCAGGAGAAGAGATTATTTACACTTAAAGACTGAAATACAACATGTTTGCATTCAGAGTAGGAAAGATGTGGTACAATTACTGCTGTTCCCGTAAATGACACAATTTTCCTGATATGTGTGTTAATATAATATTGGGCTAAATATCTTTAGAGAATTTAGAGCTATTCTGATAGGTTCATAAGCATGAACTGCCAACAGACAGGCCCTTAGTGATTTATATGGTTTTTTTTCTTTAAGGGATTTAAGTATAGCAGCCCAAAGTTGGGGTTTTTTTGAGAGCTTTTTTCCCTACCTCTAAAGAAATCATGTAACATAGTTTACTAGCAGATAGTGGTGTTCTGGTTATGGCAGTATGTTTTTCTCTTGTATCTAAAGTTCTTTCTAAGTAACATTTTGTCAGCAAAATAGGAGGAAACCCCTACCTTGGGCACAGAATATAGTATGAGGAATGTCTGATGTCACCCTAAATTCCTACATGTCAGACCTGTCTTTTTTTTTTTTGAAAAGCTTCATTTTAATCATGATGGTGTTCATTTTTGTAATTTTGATGTGCATAAGGCACTTACTTGAAGTGGACAAAGTGCTGTAGATAATCTCCAAGGTTACTTTTAACCTTCACAGAGAAGGTAAAAAAAAGCCATCCCATTGCTAGCTGAGTAGTTTGCTGGAGTACCTTTACTCACTGAATCCTCTATAGAACTTTACAGCCTCAGTGGCCTCTGAAAAATAATAGTACAAATGACACATAAGAAATGGCTTCTTGAGAGTTGACTCAGTTATTTAACTAGACAGATGCTCTTATTTCTGCAATACTTGAAGTAGTGGTAAGAAAATTTCCTGGGTGAGAGTGGATTAACACATTTATAAAACATTCCTTACTTTTACAGTAGCAGGAGGTCTGTCTCATGTGCTGTCCGTATAGTTATTCCCAGTGCCACCTTCTATATTCACTCTCCTGAGCCCTTTGACGTTTTTGGTCACTGTCAGACAAAATGAGTCAGAGGTAGCCCTGCATTGTTAAGCACAGGCCATGATACTGCTGATAGCATAGGTACCACTAACCAGTCAGGCTCATTCGGAGCATGTGTGGCCAAAGTGGACTATATACAGGGACAGGACTTCATTAAAATGTCTAGCTAAGTAAGGCATGTGAAAGTGTGAGCTCTGTCTATCAGAGATGAACTGTCAGATCTAGTTAATCATTGGCCACCAGAGTATATGCGATTGTGAAGTAATACTAGAGTTTCATCTGTAAGTAAATATTCTTTTATTGCATGTTCTGGTTATGTAATTTTTAAGATAGAAGTGGCTTAGTTGGTCCAGAAAAAACTGTTAGAGGTACTAAAGTATAATTTACTGCCTGTATGCTACTGTTCAATACAACAACATAACAGGATGTCTATTTAGTCCGGATTAGAGTACCTGAAGTGAATACATGCAGAAGTAAAATGTCGGTATATTTTACTCTACCCAAAGGAGGTTTTCTATTATTACCTATAACAAAGTACTAGTGAATAACCTTGTAAAGAAAAAAAATGATTTATTTATTTGTATGCCATTACTGATAGCTTAAATGAATGTCCTTAAACTATGCTTCCTTTTTCAAATGAAAACAGGTATCTTGCATATTACTTTGGCCAAACGAGGAGACGAGTAGTGTTTTCTTCTGAAAAACTCAAAATAAACGTAAAATGTCTGGAAAAACAGCAATTAGGAGGGTAAGAAAATAGTTTCAATGGTGTATATTTTTGGGGGGAGGGAAGTTGAAACATAGTGTATTTTAAATGAATATGAAGTTAATGTTTTCTGTTGCAGGCTTTCTAAAAAAAAAATAAAATATATTTATTTGCTTTTAAAAGGAAGCTGCTGTGGTTAATATTAGCAAAACTTACTTGCAGATTTTTTCATTGACTTTGTTATTCCAGTCAGAAGTTTATTAGTCAACAGTTGTAATCTGGAGTATTTTAAAGAAACAAAGAGGAAGGAACAAACATGTCTCTGTTTTAAAAATAAATGTTTTTTTTTTCCCAGATGATGAATGACATTGTTCAGAGAATCTTAGTTCATGGTTTTGTTGTATTATTGTCTCTGTGGGTTGCTGAAATAGATGAGGAAATGAGTCAGATTAAATATCTATATTTTATTCATAAAGTTGAACTGTTCTTAATTCACTTCCATATACACTCTGATTTTGAGCCTGGTGCATTAGAATCTGCTTTAAAAGCAGGGAATTTTTTGTTTTGTTTTAAGCTTACTTTTCTAAACAATGCAATTCTTGGGTTTTGGGGGGTTTTTTTGTTTTTTTGTTTTTTTTTCCCCTGAATTAGTGGTAATCGTTAGATAAAATTCTTCTCAGGCTTATTTGTGTCTTAGAATTTTTATTGTTGATAAATAGGTGGGTTTGTGTACTTAGTTTCCCTGTTCCTACTGTATGTTCAGTCTACCTGCATACATACAAAGACAGACATGAAAAATTGGTGAAAATGGCAGAACTGATCTTAAAATAAAAAAAAATGCTATGTATTAAAAAAACTCAAAACAAAACAAAAAGCCCAACAAAAAACAAACACAAAACCCCAAACAACCTCCAAACCAAATAAGGAATCCTCTGATGTCTGAATAGAATCTTTTTGTTTATCAAGGTTAACTGGAAGCCAGGGAAATGGTTTCACTGAAAACGGTAATAGCTACTGTCCATATCCAGGCAGTAAAATTGTCAACTATTAAGAATAGAAATCAAGTGAATATTTAAATTTTTAAGGAGTTTTTCGTGTTTATTACACCTGCTCTTTTTTGTGGGGGTTTTACTAAAAAATAATACCTTTTCCATAATAAAACATTGTTAGGTTTGCAGTTACATTTAAGTTAAACTTTTCACTGTTCAAATGCTGAATATATTAACCATGAATATCACTTAATTTCTTCAGTCAGTAAGAATTCCAATTTGTCAGCAAAGGCAAACAAGAAAATAATTGGTTTTTTCCTTCCCTTCTTCCTCAGATTTATGGGTCTGTACTTCCAAACAGAATTTGTACTGAGAGAAAATTCTGAATATGGCTTGATTTGCGCTCGATTTTGGCAGTGTTTCTAATGAGTATCCCATGGACTCTATCAAGTTCAAGGGGTTCTACTCTAGCACTGAGGAGCAGAACCCTGAGCTGCAGCCCGGTATCAGTGAAAGCATTTCTTCGTCGTTCTCTTTAGAAGAGCAACAGAAAATGAGTGATTATTCTGGACTTGCAAATAACCATAGCCAGATGATTGCTGAAGATTCAGAAATTCAGACAAAGCCTGAACACTCTCGTGAAGTTCTTCAGGAAGATATTGAAATGAGCAGTGGATCCAGTGGAAATGACTTCAGTGGAAATGATACAAATGAGAACTACTCGAGTGGGCATGATTCTCATGGCCATGAATCTGATGAAAATGGGAAAGATTCAGCAATGCTTATGGAATCGTCAGACTGTCATAAAAGGTAGTAGCTAATATTAAATAAATTTCACTTTTATTTTTGTCACTATAGGCTTTTTTCATTTGAATCCAGTTTCATAACATCTCTGGTATGAAGCGTATCTTCAGATTGAAGCTGAGTGTTCTAGTTAACTTGTGATCTCCTATGATGTAAATTGTGTAATATAATTCATAAAGGTCTCTAGGGTTCCATGGGGCCAGCTTAATTTGAATCTTTCTTCTCATCATTGTGTGTTAATTTGCCTTATGATTTCTTGTAAACTAGCTTCTATAATTGTATATCAAAAAGTGTCAGTCTGTTCTTATGTGTAAGGATACAACTGTGCTATTTTAATCTTTTAAATAATAGCTTAGTGTACAGAACAAAGTTACAGTAAGAGCTGTCTTCTTAGACAAATGTGCAACAGCTACAGTTTCCATTTACTATACCATGCAGAAACTTTTAAAGTTGGGGTTTTTTTTCTAGATAGCCAGTCACTAATAGGAAAATGTAAAGATAAAATGAACTAAAAGTTAATTTTTAGGCTTACTGATATTAATCTCTTTCTATCTTTCCTTATTCTAGTTCAAGCTCAAATGCGTTTAGTCTGATGATTGCGAACTCTGAACACAACCAGTCTAGCAGTGGATGCAGGTAAATCAATGTGCACATTTTTTCAGTAATCTGTATGTATGTAATGCTGAATGGGGAAAACTAAATAGCATTGTGTTTTGGTTTTGTTTTGGCTAAACCTGGAGGAATACGCAAGAAATCCTATCTTTGATTCTCCTGTTTATAATTGGTCACACATCCTATTAACCACACAGTTGAATTAAGAGCTTTTTGTTGCTGTTTCATCAAGTTGTGCATAACCTTTCAAGTCATCTTACTTTGATTTGGTAGCTTAACTCTGTAATTTTATTTTTGTGGTTCACTTTGAATATTGCTTCATCTCTAGTCGTTTTTTGAAGCTTTTCTTTAAATTTTCTGCTCTTCAGAACTTAGTGTAAAGCCATTGCCTGAGGACAACTTAGTAGTGTTTTAACATCAGAATTCACCCATTGAATTGGATGTGTTCTGATGTCCAGCAGTCATATCGTCTGCCTCTCCTGTGTTCCATTCGCCAGGATTCAAGCCTCAAGTCTATAAGGATAAACCAACATGAGCTGCAGGAATCCCTCTGTATGAACTCTGCTTCTGACACTGATAGCCTTGAGAAACCTGGTGGCATTGAAGGCTCAAATCTGGACACTTCAGAGAGCCCTACTGTACTTGTTGGGTTTTTTTAAGTCAGCTTCTCATCAGGAGACCAAAATCTGATCCTGAGTAGATGCAGGATATCTAGCTATAGCATACTGGTGTTAAGACCCCTGTCTACATGTACCTACCTGATAGTGTTTCTACCTGATGCAGTTATTAGAGAAGTGGTAAATTACCCCTTTGCACCTTTTGGTGCTTGATGAACTTATTTTCTGTGTCTCCCTTGCAGGCACCTGGAGATCTTGTTCCATGCTGTATTTTCAATTTGAAATTGTGTTCTGGAGTTCGTGTTGCTTAGAATGAAAGACAGAGTGAATCAAAGGCATTTCTTAATCTTTTTTTCCCATTGATTCCATTTACTTCACTGCAAGATTTTTGGAGGGTTACTTATTACAGTTTTCCTAACACCTCTTTATTTTAAATTTTGCTAATTACTCTCTCCTCAGAAATAAATAGGAATCCAGATGCTACAGTGTTTTCCTTTAGCTGTCAAGCAGAGTGCTAGTGTGTTACAGAGCGGAATCTGATCATCTTTTGGGAATGGGAGACTGAGGGTATCTAGAGAATTATCTTTAGATAGAAGACTAAAATAGAAAGATAAGATACAGGTTTAGCGCCTATCTTTATAGAACTTGTTTATTCTGTCTTCTGCAAGTCACACCTTCCCTGCAGTTGGCTACTGTGCCTTATGCTACTGAACTTTGGAAAAACATTTTTGAGTTGTATTGGGTTTCCAAGGAGGTCCATCTTCTATATTTGCTGCTGCTGTAGGCTAATTTGGAAAGGTTTCTTTTCTTGCAAAGTCTGACTGCTCTCATGAAGCATACTCAGAGACGACAAAACCAGCAGTATACTCTGTTATTTCATAGTCCTTTCCCTCTCTCTTCTTCCTACTGCCAGCGTGGAGGGTTCTTCTATTAACAAAGCCCTGTTTGATTGTGTCAGTCCAAACTGTCAAGCTACATTGTAGATGTGATTTTAATATACAGCATGAACATAATGTTTCCCAAGGGAGTACTATACTCTTTTGTCTTATGCCTTGCCATTATTTCTCAGTACAAAATGACCGCTGATGAAGTGAATGCTATGTTTCTCATAGTACGTTGCGATGTAAGCAAGAACAATGTGTATTCTCTAGTATGAGCCAGCTTTGTCACTTTCCAAACATTTTTGGTGAAATACACCCAAAGCCTGTCAGATGACTAATCTACCCGAACAACTTCTCAAACTTCCCAGAAAAATGTTCAGAAATCCTCTTGAAAATTACCTGGAAGCTGAAGCCACTTTGAGCCCTTCAGACAGGGCAGTGCGTTTGCCAAGACTATTGTTTCTACAGTGGTTCTTAGGGTAACTTCTTAGAGATTATCAGCCATGACAGTCAGGTGGTAAGAGAAGACCTTCCTTTTGATGGGAAAGAATTTATTTTGAGGAAGGTTTAAGAAAAGCTCTAGAATTCCCTTGATTGTTGTGACTGATTAGCTTTTAAAATCTACTCCAATGAGAAAGACAAGGTGATTTTTTCATTTTAACTGCTTCCTACCCACCTGCCACCAATCTTTGTCATCTACCTCCTCCCTTCCCTTACCTTCTTTTCCTTTTTGATTTTGTCAGCACGTCTTAATAATGGGGAGAAATATCAGGAACTGTGAAGCAAGGCAATAACTTTCTGACGTTGGCACTGATAATCTCTGTAGTTTGACCTTCTACACTGAGACAGCACTTCTGAATGTGCACCTAAGAAATGTGAATGCAATTTCTGTCTCCATCCTCCTCTGATTCTTTACCCTACCTATTTAGTCAAGTTTCCTTATCTTATTTAATGTATTGCCATGCTTAACTGGGATACGTTTTCCAAGGATTTCCGTTTGTTTTGTTAACTTGATGCTCTCCCACTGCCATTCCCTTTTCAGGGACCTTTCTTATGAGAACCTGCTCGAACAGGAGGTGAAGACTTGAATGGACCTCCTGCTTCTCTCCTTTGAAGTCCATGAACATTTCTATGAGTTTGAATTTGAAAGGAACTAAGGAAAATACCACTAAAAAGGGAGGAGGGAGACTGTGGCCAAAAAAATATGTCTGTGGTGCTTGGGTATATGTACTGTTGTATATACAGAGTACATTTTAAAATAAGGTTTCAGGTGGTGGTAAATATTTCATTTTAAATGATTCTAGCTAATTTAAGAATTATTGTAAGTTCTCAATGCTGGAACTAAGTATTGGAAAAATTAATGCAACTAGCTGTACAAATTTAGGTACGTGGTGAGTGTCAGAGTATATTTGGGCTTCTATGAAGATGGTGTGTCACTTCAAGCCATTCAAGTGACGTTTTATTTTTGTCTTTAATCCTACAGTAGTGAGCAGTCCACTAAAGCCAAAACACAAAAGGAATTGCTGAAAACATTACAAGAGCTGAAAGCTCACCTTCCTTCTGAAAAGAGAATTAAAGGCAAATCTAGTGTCCTAACGACGTTGAAATATGCCCTTAAAAGCATTAAACAAGTTAAAGGTAATAAAGTATGATACTGCCTAGATAATGCCAACCTGGATAAAATTAAACATTTAAAGTAGGAATTCAAATGTGGTTGTCTGTGTAAAGCTAAGTTTATTATGTTTGAAAACATCTCTAAAGAGATGTTTTTGTGGTGTTCCCATTTATTGGCTCTGTTAACTTGTGTTCCTTTGGGAGTTAAAGCAGCTTTCTAGGTGCTTGATATTTTGCTGATATTTGTTGAGTTAAAAAAATAATTTGAAAACAATTTACAATGTCATACTATTTGAGCTGTCAAACACACCAAAGTATATGATCACACACATGTGGCTATATTAAGGTGGGTAAATTTATTTGGGTTACTGATGAGGAAGCTCTATCGAGGAAAAACTAATTTGGAGTAGTACCTCGATTTCCCAACTGCCCCTTCTGTGCTTACACCAAAAAAAGCATTGTCCATTTATGGCTTCCAGGCTGGATGTTTATTGATGAGATTTTTAATTCTTAATATAAGTTGTTTAATATTCTCATGTAGCCAATGAGGAGTATTACCAATTGTTGATGATTAATGAATCCCAACCTGCTGGACTCAATGTGTCATCTTACACGGTGGAAGAAGTGGAGACTATAACTTCAGAGTACATTACGAAAAATGCGGTGAGTATGGTGACCCAAGGCTACAGTGTGTATTGAAAATGTTTTCTAGAACTGGAATTCTCAAGCATGCCTTCTTTTTGGAAGGTAAGAGTTGGTAGCTAGGCCAATAAACTGAAGAAAGTGGCTTTTGCCTTCCAGGGGATGTTGAGTAGAAACTCTGAGCCTTCATAGATTTTGCCAATGGAACCTTGATCTAAGCTTTTTTCTGTCAGTTAGGTGGGAAATAAGTAGTCTAAACTCCTTGGTCCTCTGAATTGTACTTTATGCGTAGAGATGATGGTGTGACATATCTCAACATCTGTGTTATATAATGCACTGTGAGGGGTCATTAGTTTTCATTTTACAACACCTGCTAAAGTTGGAGAGTAACTCTTTCCAAATTTTAGTCAAGGCAGACCTGTGAATTGTTGCAGTTTATCCTTATCAGTAGGGGTTATTTGATGTTTCACTTATCCGTTGTGTGTGACTGAAAAGTGATGAAAGGGTTGGAATCCCGATTTGTTGTGTTCTCTTCTGTGGTATTTGTCTAGTCACTGCAACTGGTGTAGGCTTATTGTGTGATCCAGTGATACTATGTCTTCTCATCTTCTCATAAGAACAGCTATGACAATCAGCGTAGTTTTTAGCAGTAAAATGACAGTCTGAACGATTAATAAATTTTTTAATTTATTTTCCACATTACTAGCGTTTTAGGGATATATTATGGAGTCTGCGAAAAATAATTGCATCTAAACTTATTAGACTACCTTCTTTTTTTTCCTGAAGTCTCTGCCTGAATGTATGAAGTTTGAAATCAATAAAATAGTGGCATGATGGGGGATGTTCCCCTACTTGAAGTAGATGGGTTTTGATGTAGCTATGAGTAGCAAAGGTTGCCCATAAGGTAAAATAAATAGGAAGTCTAGAGTACAACTGAGAATTTCAGCCAAATACCATAAACATTGTTCAATTGATCTGAAGCATCTGAGTTTGTGAAACTGGTGTTGTGACGACAACTCTTAAGTTTGTGTATAGTGTTAGTGGATAGAGCACTAAAGGTTATGACGCAGGAAACTCTTCTGTGTAAAGAAGAAAAACAATGTGAAACGATACAAGTGGATTGTGTGTATGGTTGTATGGGACTTTTTTTTTTCCACTTGTTTACTCATATTTTTTTTTTTTACCAAGTGGTTTAGAGCACTTTTTTTCACTTTGCAGTGGACAGACAAGCTAACATAAACAGCCTTTAACAAAAGAGTTGAATTTCATGAATGTAAAATATGCCTGTAACAAGCACAAGAAAATTGTGCAGTTTTATAGCTGGAAGCTCTTTAATTTCTAATTTGTAAAGTCATTCTGCATCATAAAATTTTAGGCAATGATATTTAAGGCTTGTAACCCAGTAAGATGCCCAGTAAGTATTGTTACTGCATAGTTCAAAAAGTGTACTGTGTCTACTTCATGCGCAGATTAATTTTATTTTATTTTATTGCTCCCTAAACAGATGCAGTTAAACACAATTTCCTTAATTTTTATTTGAAACTTATTAATGCTTTTATATCTTAGATGCTTTTCTAAGAAATACATACCAGATTGAATAATGTTTTAAACTGTCCGGATAATTTGAGATTTTTGTTTTTAGGATATGTTTGCTGTAGCTGTTTCTCTGATTACTGGGAAAATTTTGTACATCTCTGATCAAGCTGCCTCTATTCTCCGCTGCAAGAGGGGTTATTTTAAAAATGCCAAATTTGTGGAGTTCTTGGCACCTCAGGATGTCAGTGTGTTCTATACTTCTACTACCCCATACAGATTACCATCATGGAATATTTGCAATAGAGCAGGTGAGTGGTCTCAACAACATATTTTCCTCTGACCTTTCAGTCATGCAAACGCAAATACTTGAACTGATTTCAATATCCTTCTCCATCACTTTTTGAGGATATAACACAGATGCATTATTAGAACATCTCTGAACAATCCTAGATGTATAACACACTTTTATAAATCAGCAAGTCTTATCTGTTGGCTAAAACTCTTCTGAATGTCATTGTTTATTGGTTCTTGTGACCCTTTCATCCAAATGATGAATGAAAACAAGGTAGGTATTCATGCTGAATAGTGAGTTTGCTTTCCATTTTTACTAGCAATCAAATGACCACAGTTTTTCTTAAAAATTTCTTTTCTTCAAATATAAGGAGGATAATATTCTACCTCCTTCCTTTTAAAATTTGAATACTGGACACCTTGATTACAGTGTAGAAAAATGTACTTCAGCTACAATCACTGTGCATTCACTAAGTATAATCGTATCTTTTAGCCTTAGAAAAATGATGTTAGGTGTGCTAATAGTGAAGGGTCAGAGGTCTTAGGGCACTTGATATTTGTTTGTGGGAGGATTGTTTTACTAGTGTAGCTACAGCTGTTAGGAATTGAGGAACAGCTGCCAACTACTTTAACCAAACACTTGAAATTCAAGGTCTGGTCTAAATGTTTGAAATTCCAATTCATTTTATCCCAAGTCTATTAAGTTAAGTCAGAGTGTGAACGATATTTAATCTGAAAAAACAATTAGCAATGAATACGTACTAAGTAATGCATACATAAAGCAGGTCGGAAGGGACCTTGTGAGATCTCTAGTTCAATCTCTGGCTCAAAACAGGGTGAATGGTGAATTCTGACCATGTGATCCTAATTACAGATATTATTCAGTTATGCTTTTTTTTTCGTGAAACATTTTCTGTAGTTTTATGTTTGTGTTAGCTTCAAATTTCAAAAACGCAGTAAGTGGAACTATGCACACTATTGCATCAGCTGCCATAGAATAAAATATCTAAAAGTATTGTGCACTAAGGCCTTCAAAAGACCAGAGCTTGCCTTGAAAATTAGTCTGTGGCTACTCTGCAAAAGGATGGGAAACAGGCTTAAAAGGTGAGAGGAAGCCGTCATGAAAAATACTTTTTTGTGAGGGGGTGGGAATTTCATGATCTAGCTGTCCTAGTGTTTTTCTAGGAAAGAGATAAAATCTTGGGGTCCCAGATAATCAAACATTTTTGGTCAATGTTATGAAGTACATTGGAAAAGCTCATGAGAGTAAACAGCTCCAAAGTGGAGAACTGTTTACATATGTTTTTGGCAAAAGGCTTAATAAGCAAGCAGCTGTGATTCACATGCCAGCCTCAGAATGAGTGGTATTCAGATTTAGTTGCTTATGAAGTACATTGTTTAGCAAATGCATATGGAGACTTCAGGGAACATAAACTTTTTAAATAATTCAGCCTTTACTACTCAAGGAAAAGTCTTGTTTTAAATATTGTAATCTCATAGTAATTTGTAACTTGTTATAAATATGTTTAATATTTCTAGAGTCTTCCACCCAGGATTGCATGGAAGAAAAATCTTTTTTCTGTCGTATCAGGTAAGACAACAATATTGTAAAGCATTGTGTTATATTATGAAACCATGCATTATGGAAGTATTTGACTTTTATAAGAACCATATTGTTTGTAAGTTTCGTACTTTTCCATAATGTGAACGTAAGGCAAAACATATGCATGTCCTCTAGTTGATTCATTCCTAGAAGCTACAGAGAACTGCAAAGTGATTTCAGGAAGTTGCATCTTAGAAGTTAATCAGTGTGAATATAGACCTTTGCACCATAAAGGAAGCTGATATGGTATCTCCTACTGCTATGGAAAGTCTTCAGTTCATGTTAATTGAACTGTTCTGCTCAGCACCTGCTACAGAGTCTCTTTCATTCTGGAAGACAAATGTCTAGTCTTAAATTTATTTCAAGTGTCCCATAGAGAAAGATGCATGAGGGTAACTTGACTTGTCTCTTTTGCAGTTACTATTGGTTCCTTTGGTTTTGCTTTTCTTCCTTCTTTTTCTACCCCCACTCCCTTTAGTTACTTTTATTTAGGAAATGCTGGCAACTTATTCAGTGGTCTTTCTTGTGCAATTTGATTTCTTGCTGCTTAGTGCATCTCTGGTAGCATTTCCGAAAACAAAAATTGTGGATCGTATTACTTTATTACTTCTGGAGTAAATAAGTGCTGATCATTAAGGTTAGGAGTAAACTAAATAAATTAGAAACTATGCATCGCTCCAGAGCACTGGATTGGATGTACTGCAAAAGTCCTGCTGGTGGTGTTGTAGACTTTTTTTGTCCGACTAACATTGGTTCCAAAAGCTTTAGTTTTGCAAAGCTGTGCTGTTAGAAACTTATTACAACTGATTTTATTTTTCTGGTCACTGTGTAAATAGTTGTTATTTTCATTACTATGCTTTGGATTCTTACTAAGTAAACAACTGTTCTTATAGGTAAGAATTTCAGAGTCTTCATTCTTTTTAAATCGGGATAAAAATTGAGTAAAGGAAGGTCTTTACGTTAACTGAGGGGAATATAGTAGTCTTCATAAAATACAACTATAAATTCATCTCTCTGAAGGGTATAATGTTACAGATCAAGATTATTGGATCAACAAAATAACTTAATCTATCATATGAGGTGGGTTTTTCTTTTTCTATCAAATCTCCATTTAAAGCAATTGTGGATCTTCTAAATTCAGGCAGTAGAGAGGACGACTTTTTATTGCAGTTGGTATGCAAAGGATGCCATCAAAACTAGCTTGCAAGAAAAAAGTAAATTCAGAAAGTTAAGTTCTTGGGTGCTATTTTAGGAGGTGTCATGCAGTCCTTGTGTCATGAGGAAATTACAATAGATAAATTAGAACTTTGTTTAGCATAAGATGAATCTGTTGAAATAATTAACTCTGTTTAATTATTAGTGCGGGAAAGGAGCGTGAAAGTGAGATTTGCTATCACCCGTTTCGGATGACTCCTTACCTTATCAAAGTGCAAGATCCAGAAATAGCAGAGGACCAACTTTGCTGTGTGTTGCTGGCAGAAAAAGTACATTCTGGTTATGAAGGTAATCCTCTGAATGCACAAAGACTCATTTGGTTTCCTGAAAGTAAGAACTGGTCTATGTTTTGCTACAGGAATTTCCATTTTGGGGTAGCACAACAGAATTTCAGCCTAAGCAAGCCAACTATATGAGTTACTGTCAGTGATCTCAAGCTTTATTAAAGTGAAAGATAGCCGATTCTGTTCTCTGCCCTTGCTGAGAGGCTGTGAGCTAGCAAGCTGCTTTCCGATATGCTCTTAGACAGACTTTCAGACTTGAATTAGTATTTAATAGAAACGTGTAGCTTGAAATATGTATGCAAGAAAACCCACTTGTTAATCTGTTTTTATTTTCTCTCAGCACCCAGAATTCCTCCTGACAAAAGAATTTTTACAACTACGCACACACCAACCTGTTTGTTTCAGGATGTAGATGAAAGGTAACTTACAAAAAATATTCTTTTTCAATTTACTGATAGCAAGCTATCCAGTATCTTTACCAGTATTTTTAGGATTTAATTAAGATCTCTGTGTGGGGTTAAAAAATTATGTGACTACTGAAGAGAGTGTAACCCAAGAAAAGTATATCCCCCAATTTTCACTAAGCATGAAAACACGTTACACTGGGGTATTGAAGTAGAAGACCATTTTCCTGTTAACAACTTGTTCTTCCCTTTTCCTTCCATCTGAGGCAGACCTGGACATAAATTCAATGAATGAAACCCACCGTCCGGAAAATTCCTGTGCTAAGATTCATTACCTGTATGAGATTTTTAGGTGGTTTGCTTTTTAAGTTTGATCCAATTAATAATAAACAATATGCTGCTGTCACTTTGTGCTAGCCCAGATACAACTAGAGGTGTGTCTTTTAAATGCAATGTTAGATGTTTAAAAAAAAAAGAAAAAATATTCGGTGTTCTTAGTTCAAACTACAGTCTTCATAGTTCTTGCTGCTGCTGTTTGTTCACAAAAACTGCTCAAATTCTACTGGCTGAAGACTTCACATTGCTTTGGCAATCATGGAGGCTGATTAGAGTAAGTGTTCACATTTCAGAGTAGGGCCAAATATGCTGCTTGTGATCTTAAGGCATACACAGAGGCTCGGGAGCTAAGGTGTAAACCAAACTTTCCTGCAGTCTTCCGGATTTTGCCTGGGGCCTTTCAAAGGATGTTTAGGTGATGGAAACATGAGTTCTATGAAAAGAACAGAAGATGCTCCTTCAGAGTTAGGAGTGTACTTGGCTGAGGAGGCGGCAATAATCTCAACAAGTTTTTAAGGACAGGGATGCACTATGGAATATTGTAGTGTTTTGAAGACTTAACTTGACAAGAGAGCTCACTTGTTCCTGAGTTGAAAACTGGGTGCCTTTTCCCTTTCTTTCTCTTGCTCTTCCCTTGTTTTATTTGATATTTTCTTCATGATGGTTTCTGATATGCTATATGTGAGATCGTATATTGATTTTTTTTTTTTTTTTTCTCCTTACTAAGTTGGCTGCAACATTAGCATCTGACTTCTGAGATTGTTCCCTCCTCTTGTTTTTAAGCATTCTAAGAATGCTAAAATTTTCTTTGTAGGTCTAGATGGGGAGAATGTCTGCAGACAGAGTAGCAGTATAATGGACAACTTTGGATTTCTGTGGTATCTTTTGGGTGGGAATCCTCTTGTTTCTGAAGAAATATGCTTCTGTTGGCAAAATCTTTAACTGCAGCAGAAGAGAGAAGGATTGGGGGAAAGGAGGTTATTGGAAAGTTTGGCTAAGCTGGAGTCAATAAGGTAAAAAAAAATTACTGTTTGGCTTTAGGGGCAGTTTATCTTCAGAGGGGTCAGGCACATCAGTATTTCTGCAGCACGCATGTCTTTTATTAGATGAGAATTGGAAAAGGTAGCTATTGGAGATTACTATAGAAAACAATGGCTAATCAGTGAGTATAAATTTGGACTTCAAGGTACAGCTGTTTTTGGCTAACTTGTGCAGACACTGTGGCTAGTGTGAAGAGTTCCTGCAGGAACTCCTGCAGGAGTTTCTGCCTTCAGAGAAGGGAGAGCAGTAAAAGACAGCCTCTGTCGTTGGTTTTAGTGGCCAGCCCAGCCCAAGCCACGACATGCTGACAAACTGTTTTTCCACGGTATCATTTATACAGTCTCTCTAAACAGCTTAATTTGACAAAAGAGCTACTTAGTCCTGCGTAGTTCTGTCCTCTTCATGGATTTTTCTCTCTCCCTCATTCACACACATGCTCCAAGCCAACTGCAACTTTACAGGGTGGGTTTATCTTTTCAGATAGGCTAATGGCACAATGTAAAGCTTCCCTTCCTCCATGTCCCCCCAGCTCTTTTATTTCCAGTAGTCACTTAACAGAAGTGGCAAGACTACTGAGTGGAGAGCTTTGCCCTTACTCTTGGCCTTGGGTGAAGTTACTATGGTAAATCCCTTCTCTATGGCTACAATGGAAGATTCTTTCCTGTTAGTCTGGTGTTACCACTTATTCTCAAAGACCATTTTTGAACACTCACAGTGAAGGTTGATTACATCTTGGTCTGGTATTAGGACTTTATTTCATTTATTTCTGTTCTTGCAATACGTATGGTTGATTTTGCTTTTAATTATTTAACTCCCAAGAGCACTGGCAGCCAGATAAATATTTACCAAGATATGCATATGCAGTTTATTACTCTTAAGCTCTCCAGAGTTAGGTGGAATGCACAAAACAATAGATTCTTAGAGAAAGCGGAGTCTAATTTAAAAATATACAACTGAACAGCTGGTGTCGAGTGAGAATTATTCATAATGTAATGCTGAAACTGTTGCTTGACTTGCATAAAATAAAGTTAATTCTGTAATCAGTATGTGTTCGTGGGTTAGAAAAATGCTTATTTATCCTAACTCTGCAAGTGGATAGCTGGAGAGAATAAGTAAAAATAAAGTAAAAATAAATATTTTCCTGAAATTAAATGGATCATTTCTGTATATATTTGTCTTTGAAATGTATTTGATACTTGATGTGTATAATGGGTATAAGGAGTTCTATATAGTTTACAATGGAGTGATCTTAGTAAATGAATTTAAAGCAGTTTCCTATTTAACTTGCGATAAGAATATAAAGAGACATCTTATTCATGTTGTTTAAATGTCATTCTATAAAACACAAACTAAACTTGCTGCCTCTCATCAGCCATTTTTATACCATATGTGCATTTGCATTCATAAAATGAGTTAAACTTAAACTCTGAATTATTTTGAGTTATTAATTATAAGGAAGCATAATGATACTGAGGTACTGCATCTAGTAGATAGTAAACAAAGTATTCTCAAATCCAGCATGATACTATCACAGAAATGCTGGCTGGAAGGGGCTGCTGGAGGTCTCAGTCCAGCCTTTTGCTTGAGATGAAACTGTTCCCCAGTTCTAGGTTAGGTCAGCTGTGACCTTGTCTCAATAATGCCTGAAAACCTCCAAGGACAGAGATTACACAATCAGTATGGGAAACTCTTCCTGTGTTGCACTACTTACTTTTTAAACAAACTTACCATAACATCTAGCATAAGCTTTCCAGACTGCAATCTGGGGCTATTGCCCACGACTTTATTGTCTAGCACCATCAAGAAAATTTAACTCCATCTTTGTAACTCCTCTTTCCAGTAGTCACAGGAAGCTCTTGGATCATTCCTTAGACACCTCTTCCTCAGAACAGGCGAGCCCAGCTCAATCTCTGCTCATTGGTCTTATATTCTTGATCCGTGACTCTTCAAGGGATCTTCATTTCAATATAAAAATGCATAGGGTTGTGTTGGGTTTTGGTTGGGGTGTGTGTGTGGTTTTTTTTTTTTTT